GAGAAGAGCCTGGAATGGTCCCAGCCAAATAAATATCATACCAAAAAAATTTTTTTAAAAAAATGGAGGCATTAGTTCAAAGAGCTCTAACCACTATTGACAGGGTTAGATGAACTAACTCACTAGAACATTCAAGAAGGACATACAGCATGATTATACATTTAAAGAAGGCATTTCAGTCAAAAGATACAAAAACAACTGGTAACTCATTTGAATAATTCACCAGATCAGGCAAAAACAAATGGACCAGGCCAATAGTCATGACTCATGCCAAATGTGATTAAAGAATTGACAGCATGAAGTCTAGATTGACAGGCAGAAGCTGGATAATCCATTATAAGAAATATCTGGTCCTTTTCCAAGGTTCATGAGGTGGAGACCTTGATAGAGTAGATTTGAATTAATAGACAATTTCAATCCGAGAAAAGGAAGGAACACTTAATTTCCATCTAAACAGTGATTAAACAACTTAAAAAGTGTTTTCAGCAACCTTGGTGCTTACTGCTAACTGGGTACCTACTGTCCTATCGACAACCGAGGAAACCCTTTCATTATTGCCCACTCTCATAACCGCCCCTAGACCTTTAAGTCTGGTACCTAATATTTTAGATAAAAACGCAAGGAAAACTAAGGTTTGACGAAGCCTGGGAATGGTAAAGAAAGTTAGATCTTCTAACATACTCCAATGTCCCCAGTGTTGAAAGACGCTTGGATTTCTTCTAGGTTTGATGAAGCACATGAATGGTAGAGAAAGCTGGATCTTCTAGCATACTCCAATGTCCCCAATGTTGAAAGACTACAAAAAAAAAAACAGAAAATAATTGAAATACAGACACATCATAAGCCAAATCAGTAAAGTGGAAGAGATTTCTAAATGTATCGAGCCCCCCTTGGAACATGGTTACTGAAGAAAACCATGCACGTGCAAAATAAAGTTCGTCAAGACATAACTTCAATTTGGGGTTTTAAGTCAAGTGAATTGACTTATTTACTATCAAATCCAGGAAAAGCAAAAATATCAACAGAGTGAAGCAAGACTGGCAGCCCAGTGGAGGTTGATGCATCTACACCTACACGGTCTCGTAACTGGATGTAGTAATCTAAGATATAACATCTAAGATCATTGACAATCATGTCTAATGAAACATAAAGCACATGCATTTAAAACAAAGTTCTCACCCTAGGAAACTCCAATGAAGATGCGACAATAGCATACATGGTTTCCTAAATCTGGCTCCCTTAAATGGATATATGATACTTCACCTTTCAACAGTTTCAACATTGTACTGAAAAAAGACCTATAACCACTGCTGAAAATTTAGAACAACTAACTTGATGGATTACTCAGGCAGACCTAGAACATTGATTGTGAAACAAAGAATGGATACATAAGCAACATGTTTAAAGAAATGGTTTCAGTTTCAGAGATCAGCAACAATGATTGAACCAGATCAAATAGTTAATGACTTAATGTATGTGTGGAGTGTCAGATTAATAGTTACAAGCTAGATGGTTTTCAGGAAATGCTGATCAGATTACAAGGTTGACAGAAAAGGATAATGAGTCACAACAGAGTAGACTTGAGCTTCCTCGTGCTTCTGGAAACTCTATGATCAGTATTTCTTTACCTTGTTGTCAGCAAACCCTTTCAAAACTAATAATTTATATCCTATCTCTATAACTTTTCTGGACTCTACCAAAATTGATTTCTTCCAGAGAAGCAACAACCTGTACATTAATCACCAGCTGTCTGCTCACCTGCTGCATGACTTTCTTCAACCTTTTTAACAGATTAAGCGTATGTCCATGCTGACAAGAAGCAAGTAAGCATCTTTCTTCCTCAGCCATCAATATGAAGTGTTTGGTAATACCCATGTTCCTTTTGTTGCATCATCATGTAATCATAATATATCTGGTTTAAATGTTAGCAGTGCTAAAAGGCAGAACAAAACATAATACTAACAGTTGCCTATCTCGTGAATCTTTTTAGCGACATAAGGAGAATAAATTGAATCATTAACCTATTTGATAGATCTAATGAATTAACACCTAAGAGAATCATAGTTAGCGATCACGCTGTTGTTCTAACCATGTAACAAACATATCAGAATTCTCAAATTTTAAATAATTTACTGTACAGTTTTTTCCACTCTAATCATAGCAACATTCGCCAGTTTAAACAATTTGTACAAGAAGCGTAAGGTGTACTGCAGAACTGTCACTCCTCACCATAAGCCACTGCTTGTTACGCAGGTCATAGAACTTTCTACCCTGAAATGATAGAATCAGTTGCAGCTGCAGCTTCTAAGGTACTTCGGACAGGATCTGATTCGGCAAGCTCAGCAGGTTTCTGTTAAAACCACAAGTTACACAGTCAGAAACCCAATAGTTCCAATTTAATAATGAACAATAATATATAGATCAGTAAAGTTGTCACAAAAGTGCTACTAACCATTCCATAAACATTTGTTGTCTTAGGTGAAGCCCCAGCTTGAAGAAGCAAATGCACAACATTCAAATGTTCTCCTCTTGCCGCATGATGGAGAGGCTGAACACATGAAAGGAAAAACAAACACTTAGATTGGCGAGTACTAAGTAATGACAAATTAATGAAAAATAGATCTGAAAATTTGAGGTTCTAAATATGCTACCGTATCGCCTTCAGCGTCAGTGGTTTCCAGCATTCGCTTTACAAAGTCAGCATTCCCAGCCGAATTGATTATATATTGAACAATTTCAATGAATCCTGTGCATGTCAGAATAAGAAGAAACAAAAATCAGAGTCTCCAGCTGGTGTACATTTTTTCCTGATTAATATCAAAATTAAAGTAAGAAGGTATAAAAGTAAGAGATACCTCCTGCACAAGCATCATGGAGAGGTATTGCACCTTCTTCATCCTTGGGCTCTAAGTTGGCTCCCCTTTCCACCAATAGCTGGGAGAGCATTAAAGAATTATCCGCTTGTTGATATGAACTGAAGTATTAAACCGAAAACAACTGCAACTAAGCATAAGATCTCCTACCTGGACACAAGGAAGGTAGCCATATAGACAGCAGAGGTGCAGAAGAGTATCACCATCTTCCACTAGGTCATTGATACTGCCATTGTGGTTATCTATAAATGAACAGAAGGTGAGTACTTGAGATCCTATATAAAGGGTCATTGATACTGCCATTGTGGTTATCTATAAATGAACAGAAGGTGAGTACTTGAGATCCTATATAAAGAAATAGTTTCAAAATGAGGTTCGATATCTATAAATGAACAGAAGGTGAGTACTTGAGATCCTATATAAAGAAATAGTTTCAAAATGAGGTTCGAATGCATATCTATGTAGACAGTAATCTAAGGATCTAACTTATCTTGAAACATTTCCTATTGTTTTGAATCAAACAAACAATAAATAACCAGGAGGTAGCTAAAACTTACAGTCTGAACTGCAATAGTCATAACCTATACACAATTGAATTAGGTTTTTCAGAGACAACAAAGAAGTGTGATCTTAATCGTATACAACCAATACACAATTGACTAAGGTGTTACAGTTGTTCATAAACAAACCGCCGTCTACTAACCCCCTACGAGCAATTCCAGTCCAGCTTGAGTTTATAACGTAGTTAAGATCATATGTTTACTTTATTATTTCGACTGTATGATTACTAACATTTGTGCCCACATTTTACTGGGTTTTAAGCTGTGCGCAGTTCTTCAGTTCTTCAGTGATCCTAACCGTAAAAAAGAATCAGGGTAGTGAATCTATATCCACACTCTAACCCTAACCCTAACCCTAAGCCAAGCAACGCTAGGGAAATATTGTTTAAAATGTTCTCTCTCAATAAATTCCAAATACCTTGTTCAGAAAAGGCACAAACATATCCTCTTTTCCAATAACCTGAGCACTGAATCAAACTCTACACGACAATTTAGTTAAAGGAGCTGTCTTTTACTTCAATTGACTGCTGAAATCAAAAGAAACTGGATAAAAACCACGCGATTACACAGAAACAGGAACGGTTAGGGTTTAACCTAGAGCAGTTCGCAGCGCTTCGACATCGCCGAGCTCTGCGGCGTAGGGCCCGGAGTGAGGGGGGACGTCGTCACGTGGAGATCAGCCAATCTTCGTTCTTCCTCGAAGACCCTCGTCTTCCTCCTCCTCCTCGCCGTTTCGCCTCGCGGGAACCGCCATTATCAGACCTCTCGAGCTCCGGATTGAGACTCGGAAGCTTCTACGGTATAACTCGAACAAGTTACGAAGGGAGAAAATGGGCCGAGGTAGGGCTCGTATTTAGGCCCGTTCCAGGGTGGCCCTTTTGATGTCGTGCGTTTTCCTTTTCGTGTGTATTATTGTGCGGCCGGTGCAAAGTAAGACCTCTATTTTTTTTATTTCTGCTAAGGTAATTTTGTATTTAAATATTATTTTTTTATAAATAACATAATAATTTTTTAAATATTACAGTAATAATGATATAGTCATTTACTATAACATGAATAGTAAATTTTGAATCATCTTATTATTATAGAGGAATAGATTTGTCGATAGAGCGATCCACATACGCGGACCTTTTTACAAAACAAACCCTAAAAACAATTTAGTATTGAGCCTTCGTATCTGAATCTCTAGGAGCGTCGGTGCTACACTATTTCGCATGTAACCCCCCCTAAGAAATAAAGTATTTTTAGCTCGTATTCCTAGGTGGGTTAGTGTATTTGAAGTTCACGTACCAACTGAAACCTTTTTAATGTTTTGAAATTATTACCTATGTATTTCAAATAAAAAATTACCTATGTATTTCAAATGCCATAGTAAAATCCATATCGTAAAGTTATTGGATTTGAAACTAACACCCCCTGAAAGTCTGCGTACTCGTTCACTCCACGCGCATCTCCGCGTCTAT